TTTATAACTTCAGGTATCTACTGTTTTGTCTCAGCAATGAAGTGACTTAGCCTCTGTGTTCACACTCCTCCCTTCCCATCCCTGATCACGGGTAACCAGTGAGCTCTCCACATTCAGAATTTTATCATTTCAAGAACATGACATAAACATTGGCCTTCAACTTTGATAGATGTTCTCTTTCAAGATGATTTTCAAACTTTTGTTTAAAAAACTTTTAAGTTGTTTTGTGTTATTGTAGTGATTGAAACAAGCATAGGCCTGAAATAGAGGAAAAGATAGAGATTCTCATATTTGTAACTAATTGCATATTTTTGGCACAGTGGCTCAGTCACTTTGTCACAGGGAGTATGCTAGGGAGCTCTGATGATGGAGTCAGCCGACCTTGAGTTTGAAGCCCGATTTCTCCACATGTGTGTGAGCTCGGGCAGCTGCACGGCCACTCAACTGCAGCTCCCGTGTCATGTGGCAGCACCTATGTAGTAGTGGGGCGCCCTTTCAGTAGGCGAAGGCATGTGTATGAATTGCTGTGCCTCGCTGGGGTCCAGGCCAGGACCTCAGGCTCGCAGGGTAAGCGCTGTCCTCTGAACTCCAGCTCCAGCTCCTTACAGAGAAATTGCTTTGCCTGCAGTGCCTAGTGCCCAGTAAACTTTGTGTGTAAATCAGTTTAGTAGGGATTGTTATGTTTTCTATGAAGTGGAAATCCTGCCTCCTGTGAATAAGGACAGAAAATAGTGAGTGTTAGCTATTATGTCTTTACTTATATTTATCATATAGCTATAGTACTTCCTTGGAAAAAATGAGAAAGACTGCAGAAGTCTTAATACACAGCAGAGAATGATCATCGTCTTGAGAAGCCGTGTTTGAGGAGCCAGTGGCTGTTCCTGGGGAGCCCCTGTCCCCTTTGAGCACTGCTTCTGGGCCCACTGGTCATGGAGACCCTGGGACGCAGCACCATTTTCTAGATGATGAATGATGGGATTCCATTAAGTCAAGGCACACAATTGCCAGTGTTTGCCAGTGCTAAGACTTGGAATTAAAGTCAGACATTACAAAACCCATTCTCTGTCCAGAGCCGTAGCATGCTGAGCATGTCCTGTCTCAAAACCTTTGCCCACCGCCATGAGCCTGACAGCTTCTTTGTGCTTGAACATTTTTCATATGAGATGGCAAGTGCTATTAATGAGTGTCATTAATTTTTAAAAATTACCGTGTCATGGGTTGTGTTCATATTTGGAAGGTCTACAGACCTTAGTGAAGTAGCACTTTCCATAGAACCACTGTGTGACATCAAAGAATTGTGTCTGACAAGACAGTCCACCCTTAGGTCAAAGCAAACCATCAGTTCAGTGTAAGAGACTAAATGATTACTGGGAAGGTTTTAGATTCACATTGTACACAAGCATTTGAAACACTTATTTCTGGGTATGCGTCGAAAGGCTGCTAAGATAGTCTGCCTCCCTCCCTTCATGTGCTTGAACAAGAACTTTGCAACGAGCTGAATATGACAGCAGATTAAAAGAATCCATTTGATGTTTGTTGTCAGATATTTATGAGATTTAATTGCAAACTGTAACAGTGCACCCCCCTCGCCCTTTGAGCCTAAGCCTTCACACTGCACTCCCTATTCGTCCCAGTTTTTATTTTGGTGTAGGGTCTCCTAAATTGTCCGTGTTGAGCTCAGATTTGGGAAATTCTTGCTCATCTTCCAGTTTTCTGGAATTAAAGGCATGTGGCACCATGCCCAACTTCACTGTTGTTGTAAACTACTTTTTATAAATGTGTTATCCATGGTATTATGTAATGGACTGTTGCTAGTTTTTGTTTGTTTGTTTGTTTGTTTTGTTTTGTTTTTTTTTTTGCAGAACTGGGGATCGAACTCAGGCCCCTGCACTTGCCAGGGAAGCGCTTATTCCACTAAGCCATCTCCCCGGCCCTCTGTATATTTTTATTATGTCTTTATAATCTTGGGTTTTTTTTGTTTGTTTGTTTCTTTTTTCTTTTCTTTTCTTTTTCTTTTTTTTTTGGTGGACAGGGTCTCACTCTGTATTCTAGACTGTCTTTGAACTCACTACAAAGCCCAGGTTTGCCTTGAATTTATGGCATTCCTTCTGTTGCAGCCTTCTCAGTGCTGGGATTTGTAGGCATGTGTCATGTCTGACTTACTAAAATTATCTTTTACCTAAAAAATATTTCTAACAGTTATTCTGTATTCTATAGTTCTTGGCTCTGGTGGCCTAAGGCCATTATCTAAGCTTTCAATCCTGATGCTATTCAGAAATGAGTTTTTTTGTATCTCTTGCAAGGAAACCCTATTATTTAAAAGTTACATATGGTTTAAAAACACTTTTGTTGTAAAGTCTGGCTTTTAAGTAAGTTGGGATTGATATATATCAAGAATTGAATTCGTGACCTCAAGCTTGCCAGGCAGGTCCTGTGCCACTGAACTGTATCTCTGACATAAGTTGTTGTTTTTTTTAAAATTTTATTTATTTATTTATTTATTTGGGTGGGTGTGTGTGTGGGGGCAGCTCAGCCCACCAGGAGGCGGGGCTGGCTGGCATGTGGTGCTGGGGGATTGAACCGCGGTCCCTGTGCTTTAGCCTAAGCTTGTTCTAAGTAGGCGCTTTAGACCACTGAGCCATCTCACCAGCCCTCTGACATAAGTTTTTAATGAAGCTTCCTTGTATTATTTTATGGTTTATTACCCACCATCTTATTAGTGTTCTTCCTTGATACAAACTTTAAAAAGAGAGACAGTTTCGGACTTAGGGTCTTGGCATACCCTTGCATATTTTGGGGAAGTTTTACTTTCATTATTATTAGTTTATTAATTATTTGGGGGAGTTGTTTTGTTATTGATAGAGGATCTTGCTGTGAACTGACTATGCAGCACAGGCTGACCTCAGACTCACTGCAGTCCTGCCTCATCCTCCCAAGTACTTGGATTATAGTCATGTACCATCATGCATGGCTATTGCATTAATTAATATAATAAGTGGGGTTATGAGTAGTTCTATTTGAGGTTTTGGGGGTTGATGTCCTTATCATGGCATATTATTCCAATAGTATATGTAACATTGATGTAGAAATTTTATAACTAAGCCTATGTAAAGGCTGCAAGACCTTCACAAGAATATGAAGGGAGAGCTGCAGGCTGGGTGTGACTGGAGCTTCTGAGGTGGTGTGTTTGGCTAGACCTACGTCTAGATGGGGAAGCATTTGGAAAGTGTTTGGAAACGGAGGCCAGAACTTTGGGGAGCTAGGTTAGAGATAGAGGTGAACATGCTGGAATACGGTAGTGATTAACACTGCTTGTTTTCTGGAGAGTACTCCTGACTGGGGTAGCCTCTGGCCGAGTTGATTCCGCCTGCCTCATGACTCGGCACCTAACCTCGGAGTGCTGTTTTCTGCTGTTCTGCTACCAAAGAAAACCAGTGTGCTGCTCTTGCTAGTTCTTGTACAAGTCCCTCCCAGCCTGCCACCTGGGCAGGGTCAGTCCCCCATGGGATGTCTTCCTTGGCCTGGCTGGTGGAGCTCATGTCCTTTAGAGTGCTCTTCAGAGCGGTGCTACTTCTGCGATTGTCTCTGCATAAAACCTGCTGAAATTTTCAAAGCTCTCTTTAGTGCTCTGCTATTTCTCCTGAAATGCCACGTGTTCTCGGGTATAGTGATGTCTATGCTGGCATTTAGGAGATAGCTGCCATCTTCCCTGGGAGATTCCTAAGGGACTGGACCACATGGGGTCTCTTCCCTTTGTTACTCTCCTCTCCTCTCTGTCACTTCTACTGCCTTGCTTTGCCAAAACAAAGCTCTTCACAAGAAAAATGGTTAAAGGAAAACCATCAAGAAACTACTATACCCAAGAGCCCTAAAGGAAAGAGTGTTTTTCAAAATACATGTTAACAAGTTCAAATGTGATGGGGTTCGGAATCAGACCCACAGCAGGAAAACCAGAGTCCTTGTCGCTTCTTGGGTCATTTGTGCTGTTGTGTTCTTCAGCTCAGTCCAAGACAGTCACGGACCTGTCTCAGTATTTGATAAGCTTTTCCTTGGCACTGCTGAAGTCCAGTGGGGAAGATACAAAAACAGGGCTTATCCTTGGGCACTGTAAGGGTCGTCCTGGGGTTAGAGCCCTGTGGAGGGCAGGATTTCTGTGTGTGCTCAGTGTCCTGTGCAAGGCCTTGAACCGAAAAAGCAAGTAGTTTGTGGAATGAGTGAGGAGGAGGAGCTCACATGCTGAGGGGAGGTGATGTGTGCGGAGCAGGCAAGAGGAGGGCTTCCTGAGAGCTGTGATGTGGCAGCAGAGCCTGGCTGGTTGGGACCTAGAGGGAGGGAGTCCTGCCAGCGTGGCAAGTGTCGCTTGGCCAGGGAGCTGGGCGCCAGCACCTGCCCTGCCGCTCTCTGTTCATGTTTTAGTTTATTAGTAGCACTTCTTGTCATTGTCCTGTAGAATGGATTCTAAAGATGTTTTGTTACCCCTACCAGTACTGGAAAAATACTTTGTTTCAAAATCATTCACCGTGGACATCCGTAGGCGCTCATCATCTCATCTCTTAGTTCTTTTTCCCTATTTATAATATAAGCTCTAAGAGCAGAGCACCGTTGGTTCTTTGCTTTATCCCACACATCCAGCACAGCTCCTGGCTTATGGTGGGTATGGAACAGTGGTTATGCGGTGGCCTAGCGGCTGACGAGCGGCCCATGTGCATCCTGGGCACACCTGTTGGCTGTGTGTGTCTGATGCCGTCATTGGTCTCCCTGATGGGACTGCACTGTAGGTGTGGCAGCCCTGGGCAGCCGGGGAGATGCCCCAGAGGGGAGGCCCCGCCCCAAAAACGTAGAAGGAAGGGGCGTTAGGGCATTGAACTTGTGTGGTGCAGTGACATTAATTCCTTTTGAGTTGTCCTTTGCTTATTTGAAGGCAGTCACATCCCTGAAAAATGTGTGGTTATTAATGTCAGAACTATAGTGTGCTAACTGATCTGTTCTTTTCATCGCAGGCGGCTGAACAGTACTCAGGGGGAAATTCGAGTTGGTCCTAGCCATCAGGTAAATCTTAGTAGCTTCTCTAATAGATTTGTATTTCTTCTCTGTTGGCCTTTTATTCTGTGAAGCAACATCTTAGAAATGTTGTTGCCATAGGGACCTTTACACTTAGTTTTTCAGATCACCATATGCTTTATAAACAAATGGTAAAATATATGCTATACAGATTTCCTTTCATAACTTTTTAAGCACGTAGTTCAGTGAGAGAAAGTATACTATCATGCCACCATTGCCATGCTCGGCACCCACGACTCTGTTCTGTGAGACTGGAGCTTTACCAGTAGGTAGGAGCTCCCCGCTCTCTCCTGTCACCAGCGGCCCTAGGGCTGCTGCCTCTCTACGTGTGGGACTGTGTTAGCCCAGGCCAGTGGACTCCTCACACTTAGCTGTTTGTGACTGGCTTACTTCACATAGTGTGTCACATGCTGTAACATGTGTCAGAATTTCATTCCTTTTTAAGTCTGAATAATTCATGGTGTAACTATTGTAGTTTTTCTGTTCACCTCCTGATGAACATTGGTTAACATATAAATTTATTATAAAGGATTTTTAAGCTGGGGATATAGCTCAGTGGTAGATGGCCTGAGTTACATGCATGAGAGCTTGGGTTCAAGCCCAGCACTCAATCCTAAATAAAAAAAAAATATTTCAACAAATGGCTTTTCCTCATGAGTATAGTGGTATATACCTATAATTCCAGCACTTGGAAGGCTAAGGCAGGAGGATCATGAGTTTGAGGCCATTCTGGGCTACATAGTCCAGTGCCAGTCTGAACTAAATAACAAGACTTTGTCTCAAAAAATAAAACAAAACAAAACAAAATCCCAGCTTTTCCTTCAGAAGACTCAAAATAGTTACTACTTTCCAGTTAGACCCTTGTTGTATCATGACCTGTGCCCTCTCGTGGTTCAAGCAGTTTATTGAGTCTTCTGATGTGGATTTTGTATAAGTTAGAATGGTCTCCCTGGCCTCCTGGCTCAGCGCGGTGGCTCATATCCCATCACTGGCTACCTTGTCAAACTAGGCCCAGCCCACTGGGCTTTCAGAGGTCCTCTTGTATCGCTTGTCCTCAACAGTCTGGCTTCCTACAAAGGCTGCTGGCTGCATTTCACTGATCCTGAGATGGTTTTTAAAAGTCACATTTTATCCCTGCATTTGGGCTTCACTGTATATTCTTTGGTGTATAGTTCACTAACCACACTTGTCCTTTCTTAAGCATGTAAAATAGCAACAGCTCTTCTAGTAAATTGAATACAATAAATTTTTTTCCTTATGTGTGTGTGGTACAGAGTCTCACTACACAGATTGGAATCCTAGTGATCCTCCTGTTTTCAGCCTCCCAAGAGCTGGAATTGCAGGCTTGCACCACCATGCCTGGACTTGGTTGCCCTGGGGGTGGAGCAAGTATGGCATGCGGACCGGGGATTGAACCCTGGTCCTTGCACTTGCCTTATTAGGTGCTTAGTCCTCTGAGCTATCTTGCTGACCCTATGAATATAGTAAATTTTGAGAAGAGCCTTTCTTTTTCTTTTGGGAGTGAGGCCAGTTTCCTCAGAAAGTCTTCAGTAGCCTCCGTCTCTGTAGATTGGGTCCTGTGTCCATTGCTAAGCTCTGTGGAAAGGGGCAGCCCGATCTGCATGCCCTGTTTTTGTTAGGGGTCAGCAGTGCTATGGATCGCAGCAGACGTGTCAGTTACAGGCAGCAGTGATCTTGTACAGGCAAAGGGCCTTCAGGACCTCCTACTTCTTCATTTTCCCATTTAGATTCTGAGCATTTTTGGTGTGCTGTTCACAGTTTTAAAGAATTTATTTCAACTGTGTAATGAGAAGAAAAATACTAGATGAAGATATATTAGAACCAGGGGCTGGGGATTTGGCTCAGTGGTAGAATGCTTGCCTAGCAAGCTGGAAGCCCTGGGTTCAGGCCTTGGCACCAAAAACAAAAAATAAACCTCCCCTAAATTAAAAAAAAAAAAAAAAAACAACTTCCCCTAAGATATATTAAAACTAAAACACAGGGGCTGGTGAGCTAGCTCAGTGGTCCAAAGAACCTGCTTAGGCAAGCTCAGGCAGGCGCAGGGGACCAGGATTCAATGCCTGGCACCACATGCCAGCCCTACCCTCAGATCTGAACACACTCACACACCACAAAACAACCAAACACAGAAACTATGAGCAGTATAAATTTTCCTTTACACATGTTCACCTCGGAAATGGAGCTGAGCTACCTCAGGCAGGACAAACTGTCGGAGGTCACCCTCGGCTGCCTGTCTTGTTGCTTGCAGCCGGCTTGGGCTGCTCGGTGAGCTGCCCTGATCAGCGCATCTGGACTGCACTCTTTTTTCCCACTTCTTTTCCCTCCTGTTGTGTTTTCAGATATCTTCATATGTGATTTCTATTTTATAGATTTCTCACTGCTACAGAAAAAAAATGACTGCTAAGTAAAAATTCCTTACATCTCACACAAGACTGTATTGACTATGCTTAGCTTTCTGTATACTTTAAGCTCAAATATTTACCTAGTATCAGAAGATACCTCCTATATGCTTTATTTTTAGGGCCTGCCAGTTAGCTCGGTTGTTTAAGCGCCTGCTCATGCAAATGCAGTCAGGCCTAGGATACCATAGTTCAAACCCCACTCCACCTGCCTTACCAGGCCTGCCCTTAAGGTAGGCTGAGCCAGTAACCCCCCCCTTTATAAAGTATAAAGTATAAAAATCCTTTATACTTTATTTTCAAAGAGGAAGATTTTGGAGCACCCAAAATAATGTGACTTATGAATTGGTGTCATCTTTTCTTGAAGTTCTTAATGTTTTTATTAGGGAAGATAGGAACATTGGAAAGCAAGAGAAAATGTAAAATAAAACCCTTGTCATACTCAGTTCTCACAAATATCAAATTTTATTATATTTTAATTTTTTTTTTTTAAATGTATGTGGTACAGGGTCTCACTACACAGCTTGGTCTCATAGTGATCCTCCTGTTTTCAGCCTCCCCAGAGCTGGGATTACAGGCATGTGCCACCACGCCTGGACTCTTGTTACTAGCTCTGTGTGCCCCACGGGTCGGGCCAGCATGGCGTGTAGGACCAAGGATTGAACCCTGGTCCCTGCATTTGCCAAAGCAGGCAGTCTGCTGAGCTGTCTCGCTGCCCTCCCCCACTTTTTTCTTTTTTGGCAGGGTATTTGTGTGTGTGTGTGTGTGTGTGTGTGTGTGTGTGTGTGTTTTATTTTTGAGACTGGGTCAGGCTGGACTCAACCTCATTGAGTAATATGTATGTATACACACACACACACACACACACACACACACACACACACACAGAGGAAAAAAAAAATAGCTTGGGATTGCAAAGCTAACACTGCCACCAGCAATGTGTGTGCTGGGGATCAAATGGAGATGTTACTGAGGCCATGTCATTGTGCACACAGAGCACATGGCTTGCTTCTGAGCTGCACACCTATCCCTTGAAAGAGGCCCATTGTTGTATTTTGCTTTGTCCTTAGATTATGCCCTACTGGGCCTATATAGGCAAATTAATGCATTTGAGTTACTTGAAGTAATTTCTAGAACGGAACCAATTCAACACCTAGGTACTTACTATTCTTATTTTTTGCTTTAGTTTTTATGAGAGCATTTTCTTTAAATTTATTTTTACTCCCTCTCCTTTTATTAGATAAATTATAATATAATACACACTTTTGTCCCTACTTTTCGTTTTTTATTTTTAGTGGTCTTACCTTCTGTATCTCCACGCTCTCAGCTAGTGCTCTTTCTCATTCTCTTCTGTGTATGCGTGGAATAGTTCTGTCTGTGTCTCTGGTCACCTGTGCTGTCTTGAGTCAGTCACTGTTACCTGTGGGACAAGTGTTTTTGCATTTTGAGGATTTTGCTGTATTGCCCTCCATAATCATTGTGAAAGATGACAAATGGCATCTGTGTCATTAATTTTCATCTCTTTTGTCAATAAGGACCATCATTTCCTTTTTTAAAAAATTTTATTTATTTATTTATTTAT